TGTTTTCTTCGAACTACAAAAATCTTAATCTTTTTTATATTTTACACTTAGTAAATTGAATTTCTAAATTTATTTATTACAAATTTTTAAATACTAACCTGGATCAAAGAGTACCAAATATTTGAGTGCAAGATATTCTGGATACTAAATAAAAAGAAAATTTTAGTTAATATCAAAATGAAATTTATTGAAAATAATGATACATACTTGCCACTGTAATTGACGAAAATCATTAACACACTGTAAATATCTTTCAGCTAATTTTTTAACAGCTGGATTTTGAATTAAATTTATATTTAATAATTGACCATTTGCCTAGAAAATAATAAATGAAAATATTCATTACAAAAAAAAAACAAGATCAAATGAAAAACTTACACTAACAATACAATTTAAACAAGATTCTTTTGGTTGTTGACATTGTTTCCATATAAGATCAATTATTAAGATTTCAATCCATGCTGCTTTTAATAATTTTATCTGATTATCAATCTATAATAATGTTAAATATATGTATATATAATCAATTCTTTATATAATAAAAATGAATACTTACTTGAATATCTTTAAAATACAATGATTGTCGAGCCTAAATTAAAAATAAAATATTATCAAAAAATTTTAAAAAAACACCGGTTATGTGGAATTTTGAACATACCCAATCAACCATAAGAAAACATAATTTATCTAAAAGTGAACATACAACTAATATATCACCATCATCACGTGTTAGATCAATATGAATCTGTTGAATATCTTCAATATAACGGACTTCAGTACACTATAAACAACAAAAATAAAGAAATGAGCTTAGTATTAAAAAAAAACCAGAAAAAGAAAATCTTTATACTCGATAAGCTTGATCAGATTCAATAAGTTTTGTTAATATTTCTGGTATATTATTTGTTTCGTTCATATCATAACTCGCTGCTAAATATTGATGATTATAAAAATAAATTGATGATGTTCCTGTATTATTATCTGTATTCATTGGATCATTTGAAGCAATTGATTGTTGCTGCATAGTTAATGTACTTAATATCGATGATGTATTTGATGTTGAATTATTTGTATTTGTTCCTGTTGTTGTTGGTGATGATATTTGATAATCAAGTAATTTTGATGATAATTGTCCAACAGGTGATGAACTCGAATTTGATGAACCTGAAGGTGGATTACTGTTATTTGTCGGTGTATTTGTTGTTGATACACCAGTTGATAATGATGATGTTTGGGGTAAAAGTAATGATGGTGGTGAATGTCCATATGTTGTTGATGAAATTTTATTATATGTATTAAATGGATTTAATTGAAATGATGGCATACGTGAATTATTTGTAACATTTGGATTTGTATTAAAAAAATCTGGATAAACATTAAATGATGTTGATGCTGATGTTGATGAAGATTTTTGTTGTTGTTGTTGTTGCTGTTGTTGTTGTTGATGATGTGATGACTGATAATGATGTGAATGATGCGTTGAAGATGGATGATGAGGATGAGGATTTTGATGATGTACATGTGATGGATGACCCACATTTGTTGGATTTTGTAAACTCGAATACATATGTTGAAATGAATGAAGATTTGGTTGTTCAGGTTCAGATTTAACTTGCATACTATTACCATTTGTTACACTAGTTATATCTAATGATGTATGAACAGTATCAATACTATTACCGTTTGGCATTATATTTTGTTGTGCTTTAACCATACTAACAAAATGTTGTCTCATTATTTGTTGACGTAATGCTCGACTTCGACGATATAATGGACCAAATTTATTTCTTCCACCTCGTACACGATTTTCTCGAACAGCTTCTAATTTCATGCCAACTTGTAAACATTTTTTAAAACGACAAAAAGCACAACGTTTTCGTTGAGTTTTATCTATTTGACATTGTTGTTTGTCAATACATTGATAATTTTTTTTATTTTGTACTGTTCGTTTAAAGAATCCTAATTAATTAACAAAACGAAAAAAACAAAGAAAAATATTGATTTTTATTCTTTTTTGATTTTATTTCTTTTAGAAAATCTCAAAATATTAACCTTTGCATGATTCACATGTCAAGAGACCATAATGAAAACCACTGACTTTGTCACCACAGACAGGACACAAATCATTAAAACCAAATTTAACATCGAGTCCGACGTCCGGTGATGGAACGTCCAGGACACCTGGACCTAAACACCAAAAAATTAATTTTTATGATTCATTTGGTTTTTTTTTATTTCTAATGCAAATAGATGAACAGAATTTCTTTCTTTCTTTTTTTTCTAAGTTTAAGATGATTGTAAAAAGCGATCATTTTTCTAAACTAATATGCACAAATGTGCACATACACGTGAGAATTTCGACATTTGATCACTTGAGATTTATCATACTTATTCTCTTATTTTTTCATTATAAAATTCTGTTTCGCTATTTCTTATTCTTTAATTCTATGATGATAATCATCAAACTAGTTAATTGGACAACATATCCACATACACACGCACACATCATTATTATTTTTTTTTTTTGTATACTAGCGATCATAATAAATCGCTTTTCTTTTTTTTTACGACGCGCGCGCGCGCGTTTGTGCGTACTCATTCAAAATATAAGATAGATGAGGTACAGAAAGTGAACGTATATATAAATATATGGAGTGAGTCGAAAGTTGCGTAAACTATCAAAGTCAACAGCTGTGCGTACATATGAATGAATAAAAACCTCTACGAAAAAAAAGAGGAAATAAAATAAGAACGCATTTGTTGTAAATATGACGACGATAGTGGCGGCGACAAGAGAGTTCATACACACATACACATACATCGAGTCCGTACGTGGTCGCTTTCGGCGTGTAGCTTTTTTTTTTGACCTTTTTTCTTCTTGTTCTGTGCACTCGCCGCCATCATCACATCACCAACATTACTATTACTACAACAACTACAACTACTTCCCTACATATCCTCGTACTCATATAAGTCGATGATGAAGAGAAGCATGAGGAATAGAGAAAGACGCAACATCGTTACTATTTCTATACTTTTTGCTTGTACACGAATGCGTGTGCGTTCTTTCTCTTAACGCCACAAAGACGTAATACGAACGTGTACATTATGAACATCCCTTTTTTTTTCTCTCTCTCTCTCTCTGTCTCCAAATAGTCATTCGATGATGATGATGATGATTGAAATTCGAGCGAATTGTGCATGGTGGCCTTGCGCAACATCGTTAATCGTTTGGACAAACAAAGCACCGCGCACTTCTCGATGTAGGTGTGTGTGTCGCGCGCGGGCGCTCGCTCGCATTCATTAACCATTTCGCAATTTAATCGAGTCGAGCCAAATTTCAGTCCGGACTCAAGCTCGGTTAATAACAAGGGCATATACTTAGTTAAATGTGAGTGTGATTGCAAGGACATTCTGCTCATCAGCATCAATGATAGGACAATGTGTATGTGAACATCTGATGATAATGATCATGTAAAATGACGCTGTTCGTTTTTTTTTCTATCATAAAGATGCAAAACGAAATCAACATAATTGAGCATTTGAAATAAAACTAAATAAGAAAAGTATAAATCCAAAAACTTACCCATCCGGGGAGCGAACTGTGAAGCGGTGATCTTTGGTTGTTGTTGTTAGGGTTAAATGTAATGGTTGAAAATCGATGTGTACTCGCTTTTTTTCTCTCTCCCTCTCTCTCTCTTTCTCGTACTCGACTTTTCTCGTTCTCAGTTAGAAGTTGATATCGAAGGATAAATGCTGCGTAACATTTGTGCGTTATGCTCAGCGCATCCAATTTTTCCTCGGTGATGGTGTGTTGTTGATGCTACTCGTCCAACGACGCCAGCGCAGCATATGTATTGTAGTATGTATATGTATCGCGGTGATGGTAGTAGTCGACGTTGTCAGTAGTAGAGTGCGCTGCGCGAACTATTTTGCTTATTCCTCTTTCTTTCTTCTTTGCGCCACTGCCGCCGCCATTATCGCTCGTTCGCTGAGTCTTTTCTCTTTTTTTTTCTTTCTTTTTCTTTTTTCTTTCGTTTTTCTTTTTCTCTGTGTGTAATGTATGTGCAATGACGCCCATGAACTGATGACCATGTACATATCACAGCAGCAACAGCAGTGCAGATGAGAGAGAGAGAGAGAGAGAGAGAAAGAAAGAACACAATATGCGCAACTACCACTATTGTTTTACCGCCTTACTTTACTGCTTTCGCTTTCTTTTTTCTTGGCCCTTTTTTTCTCCTATACGTAAACACATATGTGTTCATTGCAAGACGACGGCGTCATCGAAAGAAAAAGATGAGCTGCTTGTACATATGCAAGTTAGCAATCGCGCATTTTGTATCAACGTTACCGTTAAAAAAAAAAGCAATTACTATTCTTTCGGAAGAGCGAGAGCCATTTCCTTTCTCTTGTCTTTATATGTATTTATGTACAATGATGTGGTAGTTACATTACTACATAGTAATTTGCTGCTATTTAGTTTTGAACAAATCGAAATTTAACATTATCATTATTATTTTTTCTTTCTCTTTTGCTTCATGTACATAAAACATATGCACAAAAAAGAAATTAGAGTGAAATTGGTGCAATCTATGAATGGTCAAGATCGACATTGTCGTGTAATATTTGCTTTAATGTATGACTTCTTTTCTTTCTCTCTTTTTTTATTTTTCTTTCATGACAACAATGACCGAAGAGATCTAGGTCATTCATGTGTTCTTTGTCGTAGTCTGTCTGTCTGTCTGACCATCGACTGGACAATGTAGTCTGTCGCCGACATGATAGGAAGACAAAAAATTTGATGTGAATGCGTTCGGTCGGTCAGTATAATACATAGATGACCAGACGACTGTTTATTCACTATGTGCGTAACCTTATATATGAAGGGCATGCACAGATGGTCAGACATACTCAAGAGAATAGTTAAGTGAAACACTTGAGACAGACATATACATGCTTATTGGTAGATGGGTGGGACGAGATTAATCGATACAAACTTATTCAACACACCCACATACACATCTCTCAATAGAAGAATAGACAACAATGGATATATGTTGGCATTGAGCATTGTAAAGATAGTCTTTATTCATAGAGTTTACATAATCGCACACATTCATTAATTTAACAAGCGGTTGAAGCTTACCATTTTTCTCGTTAGATTTTTTATGTCTTGTTGTTTCTGATGTATTTTGATCATCAATACTTAATCGTGTAGAATCGTCGTCATCGTCATCATCATCAGCATCACCATCATCATCATTGTCATTCTCAATTTCTTCTTTATTTTCCTCATTTTGATTATCATTATCATCAACATCAAGAAGATCATCAATAGATTGAGGTGTTTTCATACTAATGCTATTATCATTAGTTGTGGGTGTATTTCTATCATCGATATGTTCTTCAAATTCATCATCATTTGACTCTGGTGAATAACTTTTTGTTGAATTTGATCGTAAATTATTTGTTTGATGACTTTCATATTTACTCATTTTGTTAAAATGATCATTTCATTTGCATATTTTAATTCTAAAAAAATAGAAAAAAACAAAACCAATTGACTTTTCATAATTTCTATTTTCATTTCTTATTTAATAATTTCTCAACATATTTTCTGCTTTCTGATAAACGTGTAATAGCATACAGTTGGTGTCCTTTATTCATAAATCAGCTCTGTACAAGTTATGCTTCATTAACTTTCATTTATCATCAAAAAAGAAAAAACCAAAAGACAGCACATTCATCTAATGAGTATACATTTTTTTTTTCTTCATATAATTGAACTTACATGGAATATCAACAGAAATATTGTAAAGAAGGCATTTTATTTGGTTAACATACATCGTTTACAATCATAATTTGTCTGATTTTACCCATACATCATATTGAATAAAAGAAAATGCTCTGAAAGAAATAAATAAATTTTAGAAAAAAGAAAATGAATTGATGTTTTTATGGTCAAGGTCAGTTATATGCATATACAAGTGTAAGATCGACAATGATAAATGTCCTTGACAAAGAAAAGTCATATGAATAATTAGAATGAATAAAAGTATTCGATAATGAAAAAGAATTATTCTAAGATAGTTTTAAATGTAAATAAAAATCATTAGTATATGAATTATATAAATATATATATAAATTCATTTGACACACGAATAAAAATATAAATAAACAAAACAAAAACGCAATATAAGAATAGTTTTTATTGATTGGTTTAGAAGATTTTAGCCAATAGTATATTAATAGAAACTTTTGTTGCTTGTAATTTTAATAAATAATTAGTTTAGATATAATTATTAAAAAATATAATTTTCGTATGTTAAGTTTTATGAATATTAATATGAGTCATCTTTATAAGGGTCCACAGTGATCTCGTGTAATCATTATGGTTACCGTACGCGCGTAGTCTTTAGTTTCTCTACTACTAATAATATGGTATCTACCAAAAGTATAGATGCTAGCTGATTAATTTCAATTAAGAGTCTATTAAATAATAATTGATGATGATTTGTCAAAGCCGTTTAAAATAATACGTCCGAAATTATGATTTGAATTATTCTGTCAGCATAGAAACAAATCTAAATTACAAAAAATACATGATCATATTAATCTTTTGACAAATAGGTACTACTGCAGTTTAGCCACACTCTCGCCCTCACCCTCACGTTGATTGCTGCGTGTAATGTACCAATCAGTGTAAGGATGTGGCTAAACTGCAGAAAGACCAAACATCGCTATAATTTGGTTGTTTATAAAGTAAATTGATTGAAAGTTAATAAATTACATTCATCTATTTTAAAAACATCATTTACTATTAACCCACATAGGTTCAAACAAGAGTAAGTTTGAATTGTTTAGACAACTAATTTCATTCTTTCCAGTAGGATATTCTGATCGGTTTTCTATAAAAACAAATATAGCCCATTTTTATTATTGGTGTGAAATCATGAACAAAGGATTCAATTTGAATAAAAAGTTCGTCGAAAAATCATCTGTTAATCCAAGTGTTGTTTTTGTGGGAATAGATTGAATCTGTAATACTTCCGATGTGATTGAAATCAGAGAAAAAAAGACGTCGGTCGAACGTTTGTTATACCGGCGATAGTGAGAACAAACGTGTAATACGATTTATTATTAATTTCTATTCGAAAATGAATGAAATATCAGAAAGTTTTTGAAATTATTTCATCAATGAAAATATTCTTGAATTCTGTTAACTTGCAAAATTTCCAAAAAGAATTGATAACCACCATAAGTAATAAAGTAATATGTAAAGTCGTTTTTTCCATTACAATATAAGTTTACTGAAGAGTTCTCCATTATTCGTTGATGTTTTTTTTTCTATACATTTGGTATCGTAATTTAATACAACGAACAAATCAAGACATTATTTAACGATTCATTCACAAAACATCAAATAATCTTATCGGTAAACGTGAAATTCAAAAGCCACTTCTCATATTCGTCTTATCTAGGCAGCTATACAAAGACAAAGAATGAATTATCAATATATTGGCAATTGTTCTTTGCAAATAGTTGCTTATATGAAAAAGCTACATGATACCTTGAGAAGAGATTATTAGTCATGTATTCTATGTTCTACATGTTAGACTGCATACAGAATATAATGAAGATTAAAGCTCATAAGACTAGTTGTATTGGCAAATCTTCTGATATATGAATGCTTCTTTTTTCTTGAAAAACCTAGAATTAATATCACAAAACTCGAGTACAATATAAATATAAAATATAAAAAAAACAAAAAGCGTAATGTTAGTACGAGAATGTTGAGCAATTTGGAGTAGAAAAAAGTTCAAAATCTTTTTGAATTTCTTTTTATTGACCAACTAGGTGTAAAATGAAATAGAAGAAAATGAATTACGTTGATATATTGCTCTGAAATTCATTCACATTGAAAGTATGATTCATTAACATTTTATTATAGCTTATTACGTGTGTTTATCAGATCAATGATGCTTTGAAAAAGTCTCGACGATTTTTAGTGATACAGTTTAAGCCATAAATACAAACAAAGATAGTCAATATTACGTCGATCTATAGAACACTTGTTTCAAAGACAATATAATGAGCACGTCAACATAGATGTTTCTCTAAAGAGGAAAAGTCCTCAAGTGATAAATCGCTTTTAATCTGACAGATATTGAATTTTTAGTGTATTTTCAATGTAGGGACCTAATTTTCAAGTGAAATCATATTTGTGAATTTTGACTTAAAACTTTACCTACATAAAGTCACTAATTAGACTAGCTTGTAGAAAAAATTTCAGAATTTTTTCACTAAGTCTTTTCGAGATATGAGTTTTTTAAAATATAGGCACTTTGTCATGATTATTGTAAAAATATGGATATTTTGAAAAATTTATATCTTGGAGATATTTGATCAAAAGATTCTGAATTTTTTTGTCTACAAGCTAGTATAATCAGTGATTTTAAGTGGATTAAGTTTCAGGTCACAATTCAAAAGTATAATTTTGCTTGAAAACTAGGCTCTTACAAGAAAAATTCACTACAACTTCGATATCTCAGCAACTCGAATTACTCTAGAGTATTTACATACTCACTAGGCCTTATCGATTGAATGTAGTTCCAACTTAAGTGATTTATCACTTGGAGACCTTCCCTCATAAGTATTTTCTCAATATCGTCGTCAAAGTTCATCGCCATGCCTTAATCTTTTTTTTAAATAAGATTCACGATTCAATTTTTTATAAAAAATGCATCACAAGTTTTGTTACAAAATGTTAAGCAAAAATATTAGATAAAATTATACTGCGAGGCTGTAACATGCTCAATTTTCAAAATTTGTTGTTTTTTTCAGAATAATTGAGCATTTTTTTTTGCTAGCTTTGTACAAATATAACAACATGACAGAGTATATTTAGGAGTATAAATAAGTGCGTTCTTTCTCATGATGTATACTGAAGTTCGTTTCAACCAAGCTTTATCCTAACATTACTTTATTAAAATTGAGCCCAAAAACACATAAAATTTTGCTTGTTTTAGGTAATACACTCCAAAACAAGAACTCTATTTAAATTCTGTCACGTCAGTTTGATGTATCATTCGTTTTTCTTAAAATTGAAATAAAGTTGAGTTCTAACGACCCATTTTTGTTTCCGTTGATTAATGCAAATTTTTTCTGCTAATTCCAAAATCTCTAATTCAAAACCGTTACTTTTTTTTGAAAGGTTTGGAATAAGAAAGAATTCATTTACATGGCAAGTATTGATACAAAAATATTACTACTATGCTTACAAGATAGAGCGCTTCAATTAAGATCTTTTTAATTATCTAAAATAATAAAGGATAAGTTGTTATTCTGTGCTGATGATTTCTGACTTGAAATTTGATTACTCTTCTTTCAGACTTCGAATCTATCTTTGTTCAATGTTTCTACTTATTTCATTGTTGATTTTTGGTAATGTTTCATCGATGAATTCTCAAGAAAAACATCGCTATTGCATATAAAGTATTCCTAATTCAAGCAAATTCTTCTTAGTTAATTTACTGGTACTCAAACTCAGAAATCATCTGTATTTTATTTGCATAATTGAAAATATGAATTTTATGATTACGTTTCGAAACTCATTGAATGATTACATTTTTCATCTTTATGTAAAAATGATAAGATCTTCTGTAATATATACAATTATATGATTAAAAGAAATAACAAACAATCATTTTTTAATTAACAATAGTCATCAGAAATAGTAGGTTTAATTAATAAACTCTCTATTGCAAATATTCATATGAATTAACTTATTTTTGTTTGCTCATTTTTCATTATAGGTAGAATTTTGTGAAGTTGTAAATATGAATAAAAAAGAAATATAATTAGTGTTTTCTTTATATGATAAGATTGATGATTTCACTTTATTTAGTAGCCTACATTGATATGAATAAATTATTGGTTATTGCAAGCATCAAGCAAATTTATGTTAAATTCATCAATCGATTTGATAATGAAGAAAATATTATTAATAGTCATTTGAGACATTTAATTACAGTATTAACAATACATTTTTTTTTTTGAAGGACAGAATTGTGCAGTGATAATATTAAATTCGATTAATCGAATGAATTTTTAATATTATTTCAATATCCATATGTGATAAAGTATCTTTCGACGAATTGCATTAAACATTGACTTCAAACGATATAATTTGAGTTCTTCGAGTTCTAAATAGAATTCTTTTTTTTTCTAAATTTGATTAAATTCATTGGATCTTATGAATACGCTGAAATTCTAGATGTCTTGTGGTCGTAATCGTCGTCGACCGAAAGTCTCTTCAACGTTTAATTCACGATTGAATAATCAATATGAATCTTCGACAGTCAACATGCAATCAATAGAAAAAATTCATAAATTATCTCACTGTAGAAAAAGTAATTATGCAGGAAATTTGTCAGAACAAACATCACGGGAAAATACGATTGATTTTGATCGATTTCGAGTAAAACTATTTCTTGCTTTTGTTTTTAAATTCATATGTATATATATATGTTTTTATTATTTTTGAAGATCTTAGATGATCATGGTAATGATGTTACACCACGAGTTATCACTGATTATGTTCGAATTAACATAAAAAATCGTCGTGACGATGAAAAGTCAACGACAGAAATAGTAAATAAACGAGTAATGGAAAATCAAGAATCATCTGTTTCTGATAAAAGTATTCTGGGTATGACAAATATAACAACTTCAACTTCACATATGCTTCATACTGGTACATTATTTTCTGCTGGGTGAATATATTTTTTTTTTTGTTCAAATTATAAGTTTTGATTTCATCAATTTAAAATTTAGAGAAAAAACGACACTTGATATAGGTACAAGAATTATATTGGAAAGTGAATATTTACTTAGTCAAACTCATAATGATCGAATATCCCGTACTGATAATGAACATGAAGAATGTCAAGCAAAGTTTTTACCTGGTAAATATAAAAGAATATCATGTATTATATATATAACAAATAAAATATAATATAGGACTTGGTCTGCAATGGATTGATTCATTGACAGATAATGTTTTATTAAATGAAACCGAAACTATCTTTATTTTGGATTTGACTAGTTATATTGTTTGGCAAGAAGATAATGATGAATACAATAAAATAAATGAGAAAAATAAGATTTACATGGATGTAAGAGACATTTTGCTTTCTTTTTCATGACCTTAAAGTTTTCAAATTCATTTGATGCTAATAACCTACATATATTATATATATATATATAGTAGTTGCAAGAAGTCCTACTACCGAGTAAAAAGTACATAAACTTCAATCGTTTTACCTGATATTTTGACTAGAAATAGAGCTCGGTAAACTCTGATCGCAAGTAGCAACCAGAGGTCCATAGGTATTAATGTCAAGGGTTTGCAATGAAAACACTCGGTTTTTTCCTTAGGGCCCAAAAAAAAGGCTTTTAAAATACTTTTCTGATTTTCCACTATTTAAATAGGTTAACCTTCATTTCTTATTAAAAAAAATAAAGGTTTGCATGTCTCTATTTTACTACAGACAGGGTACTCCAATCCGCTGTAATCTTGTAGTACAAGGAAACCTCTGTTGTCTGGAATGGTCTCAGCATAGATCTCTTCTTCCTTGATGACTGCAATCGTGAGATTTTCAAGAAAAACTTGATTAGAGCAGGACACTCATTGTAGAAAGTTTCAAGACAAATGATTAAAATTAACCGAAGATCTCGATCATTTTTCGACGATTCCCATCAACTCTCATATGAAGACTACTCAAAGAATACTTCATAAATCAGACAAACTAAACCTTTTTGATATGGAAGTTTTATTGGTGATAGAAGCAGTATTGAGCTATCGAACCAGAGGACTAATATCATGAAATTTGTTTTCAATGTTGAGACATCCTCATTTGAAAAAAAATCTATGTTTACCAGAGACCAACATACTCTATTTATAGTCAAACTATGACATTAAAGGATTAAACTTCAAGTACCTTTTACCTGCTAGCGGGACTTTTTACGATTACTATAAGTGTTGTACTGCACTACTATCGGTTGTTTCTTGTAATGTACATAATTCGCGTGATGATATTTTTTTGACAATAGATGAACAAAAGTAAAAGTTTAAAATTTGAAGTTAAAAATGAAAGTTCGAAAATATGTTTCTATAGAATTTTATTTTCATTAATTTAATGAATACTTTAGACAAGTTTACTTTTTATTATAGTTATGTAAAAATCGACAAGGCAATGATTTATATATCGAACGTGGTATGCAAACATTTAATGATTTACCTAAACATAAACAAATTATTACTGATGCTGTATTGACACGAGTATATTTTGATTGAACATAATCTTTATTTAGTTTTCATACGTTTTTAGTCACAACAAGCATGGTCTAATACATGGGATCTATATGATTCCACAGTCGAAGCTAATCAATATGAAGGCAAAAGTAATATGTTTATAGAACTTTTTTGTAAATACATTTCATTTTTTTTTTTGTAAGTCTATCGTCAATATGTAATACATAAAAATGAAGATTTAAATGATAATAAGATTAAACATAATGAATATCAATATAGTAATGTAGAAGGAAAACATTTTTCCGGTGAATCATCAAAAACATTTTCATCACACAGTAAATCAGTTAGATGTATAGGCTATTTTATGAATATCATGTATGATTTTAAGGTTCATCGACATTTTTTTCACAAGAATCTCTAGTAAAGATGACTTCTTCAAAAAACAATTGTTTTCAATTGAATGATAGCAATAAAAATAAAGTATATCAAACAAATTAAATATTTAAGTTTAACTTTTGTCTTCTTTTTAAAAGCTACCTGATATTGATGTTGATGCATTTATTATGGAACGTATTCTTAATTTGAGTACATATCATATAAAACAAGTTGTTTATCGAGGTATCAATACAAATCTTAATGTTAATCGAGACAGTATGTAATTCTTACTTAATAGTTTCTTACTGAAAAATTAATATTAGATAGTCGAAATTTGATAATGAAAGATAATAATAATGAATATCTTAATAAAAATAATTTATCATTGATCAAAAATACAAATCTTAGTCTTGAACGTTTATGGCATTATGCTTGTTATCTAACACATAATCGAAATGTTTCTTGTTTATGTTGGAATGAACAAAATCATGTGAGATGAAATTCAAAATAACAAAGATTAATTAAATATTTCATATTTTAGGATTTATTAGCTGTAGGTTATGGTAAATTTCAATATAATGATGATAAAGAAGGTAAAATTAAAATCTTCTGTTATATTCTAGTTTTCTATTTTTACTAATAGGCCTCGTTTGTTGTTGGAGTGCAAAGAATCCAGAAGTATATATTTACTTTTTTTCTTTACTAGAAAATATTTATTATTTTGAGTTTCCTGAACGTTATTATCAAACGGATGCTGGTGTAACATCATTATCATTTTCACTCAAAAGTCCAAATTTATTAGCTGTAAAAGATAATAGAATGTTTAATTTTATAAAATATCTCTATTATTAGGTTGGTTTATTCAATGGTAATATATGTGTGTTTGATCTTAATCAAAATAATACATCTCCAATTATTGATACAAAGTATAGATAAAAAAAGAACATCAATGTAAAATTAAAAAGAAAATCACATAAACTCGATTGTTTTTTTCAGTGAATATGATAAAAAACATGCAAATCCTGTTTGGCAAATAGCATGGCATGAACGAGATCGTTCATCGGAGATGAATAACATTGAAACATTAATATCAATTTCATCTGATAGTCGTATTACACAATGGATTCTTCGAAAAGAATTTGAAGCAACTGGTAAATCATAGTTACAGTAATAGACAAAAATTTCCAACCCTTTCATATCGCGACTACTATACATGCTGGAGATCTGAAAATGGTTCAGAAGCACCGGGTCGTCTCGATTGCTTAAATACAACGGGAATTATGATGAAAGGCATTTATCTTTGTTCCAAGCTTTTAATCTGAAAAAGATTATCTAATAAATCTTTCGTTATCTGTTATCCAGTACATGATTAATCCTTGATACTGTAGTATACAAATAAAGTCTAGCCTATGTTCCTTTTTTTTTAATCAGAAAATCAGATTATTTAATCGAAGTTTGCTATTTCTGCATATTTGTGAGTTCTCTATACCAATATGATGATTATTCGAATGGTATTTTTAGTTAATGGAAAATTCTTTCATGGAACTTTAACTACTGACAAAGCTCATGTACAAGTTTAAGCTCAATTCACAGAACTATGACTGAATGATGATCTTCAAAAGTCAGCAAATAGTTTTTCTTCACCTTAATGATCATGAACAATGGCTACAATTCTAGGAAACGTCGATATACTTCGATGAAATGAATACCGTAGATAACCAAAATAAATCACTCAATAATGAAGAATGAACCGATCCATAAAGTTCTTCTTTTTCATAGTTATGAAGTTAAAAGGATAAATAGGTGCGATCCATCATAATTCTCATTCCATTTAAACAATCGAGGTAAGCTCGTGTCTCAGATCTACATTTTTAGTGGAGTATGTGCACACAAATTACTCGACCTATAGCATGTATGGTAGTCGAAATATATGGAAGTGGAAGACTTTAGTCCAAGAGATATTGAATCTTTTTCCTTCAAAAAAAACGAGTTTAATAAAAAAAAATGATATTTAACTTAATCTTCTGTATGACAAAAAATTAACGCATTTTTATGATCGACAAGTTTTTGTATTAATTAAGAAATAAGGTATCGTTAGTTAATAAACCAGTAAAATATTTAGATTTGATGCGTTTAAAACCTTATCATTTATCAGAAACGACATGTCAAATATTAAAAACAAATGATGAAACAAATATTAATGGATATTTTTCAAATTTTGTTGGTGGTCTTTGTTTTGATATTCGTCTGAACGATAAAACTATGTTAGTTTTCATTATATTATATCATTTAAATAAATAACATTATTTTTGTGTTTAGTTATCTATGTGGTACTGATGAAGGACCTATTCATCGATGTTCAACAATATATAATGAAAAATATTTGGAGTCTTACATAGGTCATACAGGTCCTGTTTATAAAGTTCATTGGTCACCATTTGCTGAAAATATATTTTTAAGTGCTAGTGCAGATTGGACAGTTCGATTATGGATGATTGGATATAATCGATCATCTATGATATTTTCATCATCAAATTCAAAAGTGTTTTTTGATGCTATTTGGTCACCTAAATCATCAACTATGTTTTGTTGTGTTAGTGAAAATACAATTGAAATATGGGATTTATCTAAGAGCACGTACAATATTTCTTCTTTTTTTCTTATTTGTATATGATTTATATGAATTTCAGACTTGATCCAATTTGTATTGCTAATAGTACAAATCAACGTACTTTAACATCAATTGCTTATGCTACAGATTCTGATGTAAGTTCATAGGAATAAAAATAAACATAGAATCATTGTTTTTCTTTTTCGCGTAGTTTCTCTTAGTTGGAACAAATGATGGTGCAGTATGGATTTATCATTTAGAAAATCTCTCTTCATCTGCTAATGTAAGAATATGAGATGAAAGTCTATACAGTCTATTAGTATTATATTATGTTTCATAGGCAAATGATTTGATTACGATCGTTCAACAGAGTCTACTTAGTCAACTTGATTTCCTTGAAAAAACCGATCTACATCGAGAAACTTCTCTGACATCGACTCAATCTAATTGAATAGACAATGATTAACATTAAATTAATTGTGTTTTCAAATAGAATCTTTTTATTATTGCAAAAAAGATTTTACTAACAAGAGAAAAAACAATGCCTTGTTATTTCTAATATTTTAGATTGATCGAAAAAGCAAACGACAGAACGCATTGAAAATAGCAAAACAGTTCATTTCAACCGATAACATTCTACTATAAAAATTTTATCAGTATAATAATGAAAATTATAAATAAACGAAGAATTCTCTCAAAGGGATTGTAACATTAAAAAAACAATCATTACAATTTTTATTTTTTTCAAAGTTAGTTGTGAGATTCAAAAGGTTAAAAATTTCGTTTACACATTCAGAACATAAAAATCAATGCAAAATAATCAAAATTCATTCAATTTAATATGATATTCTCCTATCTACGTTTTCAAACAATGAATAATTCTTATTATCAAAAGTTTAACAAAAACGTATTTTTGGTTTATTTCTATAATGTTAAACAATTAGCTCAAATCCAAATAGTGAGTTTAATATTCAATAGAATTTTCTATATAATGCATTCAATAGCAAGGTTTCATAGATGAACTATAATGACAAGGTTTATAAAAAACCAAAATACGATAATTTTCAGATCCTAGAAAACTTGCTCGGAGCTATTTTTCAAAAATACCATTCTAAAGAATATTATAATATTGAACAAGATGAGAGTTCGCCGCATTTTCTACGACTTTCTCTTAAAAAGTTAACAGTATCATAAAAACTACTAAAAGGCATGTTTTAGCGATTTTATATTAAAATTCGTTTTCTTTAATGGTTTTTGCGATACTTTTAACTTTTTTAAAGAAACGTCGTAGAAAATTCGGTAATCCGCCGTTTTGTTCGTGATTTTGTGCTCTTTCAAAATAGCTCTGACAAAGTTTTCTAAGACCTGAAAGCTACTGTGTTCGGTTTTTTTTAAAACCTTGCAATCATAGTTCGTTTATGAAATCTTGGTATAGAATGTATTAGATAGAAAACTCTATTGGCTATTAAAATCACTATCTGAATTTCACCTAATTGCTTAACATTACAGAAAAAACATCAAAAGTATGTTGTTGTTAAACTTTTTCCGCCCTCTTATATATCACTATTTTTGCAAAAGATTCATTGCTGTAGTGTATGTGCCGATATTGATATCACCTCCTACTGATCTTCTTTCCTCTTTATCTTATGTCTATTGTTTTGTCTTGTGCTCATATCTCTCTCTCTCTCTCTCTCTTGCTCTCTTCTATGTTAGCGTGTGTTGTATGTGAAATAGTCACATTCAGATGATGTGAAATAGTCCAATAAACATCATTACCGAGTAAAGCAGTAAGCTACCCTCCAATTTGTCGTTACATATCGACTTTGGCAAGGAGCCCGTCGTTAAATGACAACCATGTCAACCAAACTTGCATCTCTTAGTGCAAAGTTCGATCTTGCCAAAATTAACAGTCCAGGTCAAAAATGCCCAATAGGATCCTATCGGATCCATGGATAATTCGATATTATCCGACGGGAATGCCGATAGTCGAAAACCAGTTACATCCATTGGTTTTCGACGTTTTTCGACAGTCAGATATCATCGGATTCTGATAATAGGATCCGTTGTTATCAGACAGCTGGGAACCTATCGAATCCGACAATATCCGATAACATCGCATGCAAGTTTGTTAAATTGCCGCCGGTTCACCGCGATCAATCGATGGTTTTCTACAATTGCTTTTGATTACCACAAATTATTACAAAGCAAGTATTTATTTATATAAATTTTTTTTCTTATTTAGATTCATCTCAATATCAAAATGATCAATAAGTATTTATTTAAACAAATAAATGTTTTTCTTTCGATTCATCTCAACATCGAAATGAACAGTAAGTATTTATTTAAATAAATAAATTTTTCTTTGTTTTTGTTTAGATCAATCTCAACAACAAAAGGAAAGGTAAGTATTATTTCAGAGAAAATAGACAACTTTATATTATTTACGGCCGGCGTGAACGACATGGAATGGCGTTGATTAACCTAGTCGGATGACCCAATTCTTTTTTATCATATTATTTCTATAATGTATGAGATAAATATGATCTTTTTACCAGTTATAATACTGCAGAAGTACTATAACTGATAAAAAGATCATATTTATCTCATACATTATAGAAACAGTGTGATAAAAAAGTAACTGGGCATTTAGTCAGACTAATCAGCTCCATAGATGTATATATTGCGCATTATAAAATAAAAAGCTCATGAATAAAGCATCAATGCTGCAGATAATATCTGGTTTGCCTATAGAAATCTAACAGAATCCTATCAGGTCCTGTACTTTCCAACATCATCCAACTGACGGATCCAACTGTCGGAAATAGTCGGATCCGACAGAATCCGAGTTCCGGATTTTTCATCCTGGGTCTTTTGTCTATATTGTACAAACGCTCAGGAGTGCGTCTAATATGAGTGGGAGGCTATGCCGATATTGATATCACCTCCCACTGATCTTCCTTTTTTCTTTATTTTATCTCTATTATTCTTTCCTGTACTCATCTTTCTCTCTCTGGCTCTCTCCTATATAAGCGTGTGTTGTATGTGAAGTACTCACATTCTGGCAATATGAAGTAACCCAATAAATATCATTACCGAGGGCGACGGTACGCTCCTGCTTCAGTTTGTCGTTACAGTTTATAACTCAATTATATCTTACATTTCCTTTCTTGGTCCTTTCTGTTAATCCTGTTGCACAAATGGCAAGTACAATATACATGTGTCTTTCTTTTAGTTATTTTCCAAACTTTCTCGTTTCTTGATATAGATCCGATCTTTTCCGATTTTCAGCATGTTTTCTTCTCAGTATCTTTGGTGTTTTCTAACTCGTTCACATGTATCTATAGTTTTCATTTAAAAAAAGAAATTCGTTCATCATCAGTTAATGTAATCGATCATCTACAAAATACCGACTATTGATAACTTCAAAAAGCATATTTAGTATAATATAAATATTCGATTGTCAACAATAGGTTAGCTTTTTTCTCGTAAGAACTTAAAGAATATATAGGTGAATAAATTTTATTTGAAACTGGAATAAAAATCATATTGATAAAAAAGATTTATCTTCAATATCGTCTTATTCGTTCCGTTTTTTTGTTGCTTGACGCTTATTGTAAAACCATACACGAATCACATAAGAATCATGACCTAATTGTTCGGATAAAATAGCAATATCTTGTTCTAGAACAAAGAAAGTTTTGTTTTTCGCTAATAGTTATCTTTAAAAGAAATAGAACAATATTTACGACTTGGTTTAGGATTTTGAATAAATGCTTCTTTAAGATGTTCAATATCAGCTGCACTGAAGATAGTTCTTTTACGACGACGTCTATTACCAATATTTAATGAATCGTCACTTGTACTTTTATTATTTTTATGATAATAAGAAAGTTGTTGCACAGATTCAGTAGAATGATGTATGCTTGTTATGTCATTTAAATCGTTTGAATTTGAATTCATTTCATCAGCACTGCTATTCGTTATTGATGTTGATGAATGTGTACAAAAAGATAACGATGAAGTTGATTTAGACATCATATGTTTATTCGATCGTTGTTGTGGTTTTTGTTGAGTAATTGTAGTAGTAGTTGCTGTTGTTGTTGTCAATAATCTATTTAAAAGATAAAGGATAAAAAACACTTGATAGATATTAACTAAAACTTTTTACCGTTGATCACCAGGAGATGGAGAAGAGATAATTGGAACTGTATCTGATGTTAATGAAGTATTGTTTTTATCATGAGCAACTTGAATTGATCTATGATCGGAACTGAATTTAATTTCTTTTTTCTATAAATCTTTCTTCAATAACTTACAGGTTAGGTAAAAGTAAAGCAGTAATAGTACTATCAAGTTCAACCATTGATTTTACTTGACTGAGATAAGAATTATCCGAGAAAATATCGAATACGGGTAATGTTTGGTCATTTATGAGACTCATAGTATTATTATTTGGCAAAGTTTCTAATAAATAAATAGAATAATGAGTAAAAGAAAAAGTCATATTTCTATATTCTAACCAGGATTAAGTTGTTTAATCGTGAACCAATCATCATCATCATCATCATCTATAGTTATCTGTTCTTGATAATCATATACAGGTGACATTTTAATAAGTCTATCTAACTATAAAAAAAAATAAGATTCTTTAAAAAAATAAGTTTACACTATCAAGTTCTCACCAAACAATTGGATTCAATATTAAAAAGAAAATTAGATTGATAGTTTTCTGGAAACATCAATTCTTCCATGGTAAAACCAAGTTTGAGCATGATTGTTATGGTTGATGATTTGAATCGATCAAAGGAAGAATTGATGTCTAGTTTTTCACATATTAAAATGTGCGAAGAATCTCATTAGTGAATCAACACAGAAAAAAAAACAAACACGAGACGGATACGAATATATCTGCTATAAAAAAAATTAAAACAATATATAATGAAACATTATTTTATGATACAACTTAATTGATCAGAATGATCTTGTTGTTTCGTCGCGCATCTATGTCTGTCTCTGATAATCGATCAATAACTTTATCACATATTATTCGCGCCTTTTCTCTTTCGATTGGTGAAGGCTATTCATGCTGTCTCATCCATTGATTTATTTTCATTGTCGAATATTAAAATTCGAGTGCATTTACAAAAATAAAACATTGTTTGTTTGAGTTCATATATGTGCCTACTAGCAAAAAATAAAATGATATTATCATTAAGCTATATGGACGAAATGCACTAATTTTATAAATCAAAAAAAAAAAAAAAATCGCGTACCTTAATCGTAAAGTCTCCATAAAAAGAAGAATATTTAGTAAATTGACTCACGCATATCATTGTCTTCATAAAGATATTTTCAATTTATAGTAAATCAAAATACGTTTGAACAATCATGAGTTTTGTTCATTTTTTTTCTTGTTCATTCTTTGTATAGATGAAATAATACGCTAAATAG